CCACAGTTGTCATCCTTCCCACCACATCTTCACTCAAGGGGGTGGACATCACACTCTGGAGAGTGCCCCCAGGATACTCCCAGCCCCACTCTGCAATCTAGGATATCAACATTTTTAAGAGACGACAAGAGATTTCCCCCCAAATAGCTATTTCTTAAGGCAATCACATACAAAGAGTTCCAGTCAGGCAAACGAGGTACCCATTCATTTAGTTTTAGTTATATAAATAATTCTAAGGCAAATTGCATCATTATACTATTGAAGCTCAGGGATTTGTTGTTCTCTGCTGCTATTTAAGATTTAAACTGTTTAGTTAAGAACCATGAGAAACAGATTATTTTGCATCAGGAGAACAGATGCTTATAGACACATACCTCCCTTTCAGTTTAAGTCTTGTTGTGACCCAGTGATTAAAGCAGAAGGTATGTTGAGAGTCAAAACCAATCATGTTTAACATCTGTTTGGCAGATAGTAGAGACTGGAATTCTACATTTCAACTGTTTGGGGGAATGCTGCTGAATTTGTTTCTGTGACACCAAATTTCAATGATGTCACAGTGACAAACCCACCAGTTTTCTTTGAAAACAAGGTAAGTGGGGAGCACACACCATGTTTTAAAGTGGAAGTGTATGTCTGTAACAATTGGGTCTCGGCAGCGTGCATGTCACAGGAATATTACTGTTTACCCTGTTTTCCTGAAAATAATACCTAATCTGAAAATAAGCCCTAGTATGATTTTTCAGGATGCTCATACTGTAATATAAGCCCTACCCCAAAAATAAACCCCAGTTAAGTGAAACCCCGCCCTCCACTCTTGTGCAGCAACCAGAAGATTACATGACTGTAAAATAAAACATCCCCTGAAAATAAGCCCTAATGTGGTTTTTGGAGCAAAAATTCATATAAGAACCTATCTTATTTTTGGGAAAACACGGTACTTGTTATTGTTCTCTTTTCTTGCGGGGGAAACCAGTCTCCTGTATGAATGAAATGGTCTGAATGAAATGAATGAAAATGGTCTGAAATTTCATAAAAGGCTGGTAGCAAGTATTTTGCTATCACCTCTTCCACATCTACACTTACAATAAATTAATGTTACAAAATCTGGATAAGTCTCCAATATTCCCTTCTCACTAGAAAGCTGACCCGTCAAATTCCTTTTACAAAAAAGACATTGGTGCTCTAGAATGGCTGTGTTTCCATTTACAGTGTTACTGCTCAGTAAAATTCTGTTCTTTTATCTTTCTCCTAGAAAATATATTTAAACATTATTCAAAATCTGTGTATCATCATCATAATTATTCTAATGCAGCTTTAGAAAAGAAATCAGTTCCATCTTCCTGTAAATGGTGATGTTCCTCATTATTCCTCTTCTGGTGGAAGGGAAGCCTGAGTTAGAAGCCAGCTGTACAGGAAGCTTTATCCTTCACACCTGCAAATGTTTTCTCTTGTCATCAACTCTTCTATTGTTCCTAATGAGCACATTTTCCTTGATTATCAGTGGCAATAGTATAGAAATGCTGGAAATATTCCAGTTTATTGAGAATGTTGATATTTCAAAGGAAGCTTATGGGAAGAACTAGTGGAGAGTTTTGCTGTTGTGTAAGAAGCAGACATGCTGTAAAATGGTAGCTTTAGCCAAAGGGGACAATTGGGCTAAGTGCTGCATCTCTGAAATCTGTGTTCAAGTTCTACTCACCTCACAGATTCATTATATAAAAAAGTCTTAGCAAATTAAGGGAAGATGGGTGTCCCTCTCTCCATTATCAAACTACTTTTGAGACTTGATGGTCAAGGTTCAAAGGTAATAAAGGAAGGGTTACAGCCCACTGCCATTGTTACTATTTTTATTTCCTTGCCATGGGAAAAGAGAAAGAACTTAGAAACTGTTTTTCCCAGTATGTGCATATCTGGAATTATTTTCAGGAAAAGAAGGAAAGATAAGCTCACTGTACTGAGGCCTCCAGTAACAGAAGGTGATCATCAGAGGTGGGACTGATAGGTTTTCCTTTATCTTAACACTGGATCCAAAGGGTATCATTTTAAATTTCTCTGTAGGGAATAATATCAGCTATTTCCTGTAACAGTACAAACTCAAAAAGTGATGCTAAACTTGATCCTGCTCATCCTGTCTAGAATTAGAAACAAGATTTGTAACCTGTTTACTTTCATAAAACTGAGGAAGACACACAGAGATGGGAGACATAATCTTAGTACATTTATGGTTTCCATTTTACAGTGTGATGCCAGAGCATCACACACAGCAGAAGGCTGATTGTTCACTCCTCTCTGTCAGTAGACCCTTTGGAGGGATTTTAGTTGTTTGTTGTGTTATGCCTATTTCTGCCTCTTAGTGGAATAAACAGTTCCCTTCTGTAGAAAAAGAATTCTAGCTGGAAAAAGTACATACAATGACCATCCTATCGTATACAATACAGACTACAAAATTGTCACTTGCTGCCTGTACAGTTGCATTGCTTATATTGTCATTTTCAGCAGAGGTAACTAGTATATTGTGAATCACCAATGTGGTGCTCTAGCCTCCCTAAGGAGTGCCTACCACTCGGTCAGAGAGTTTGACAGGCCACTTATCTACCACCTTTGCGCTGGGGCAAGTCCCAAGACCTCAGCAATGCGTAGCGTAAGCCCTTTGAACAAGTCTGACCTTAAAAGAACACTTTGCTTTTACTCAGTACTTTGCAAGTAGAGACACATTGGCTTTGTGATTCCCTAGAGCTCACAACAGCTCAGTTAGGTAGGACACATAAAGACAGCTAGTTTCTGGCCCGCTCCACGTCCTGGATTTAGCCAGACCCTGCTGTTCAAGAGACCAGTCCTTTGTAAGGATTTTTATTATTAATTTTTATTAGAAAAATATAGTTTCATAGAGCCAGTTTATATTGCACAAGTTTTAGCATAACGAACATATTCAAAGATTGTTACAGTTAAATAACTAATTACCATTAAAATAATAAACACTACTAAGCTGGACTGAGGCGGGCTACAGTGGGCTCGCCCCACTTCCTTCTTCTTTTGTACAGTACTTACATCCTCTCTCAGTCAAGTCACATACTCAAACCATCATCATGGAATTGAATTCCAGAACAAAACTGGATCTCCTCTCTCCTTACATAACCCATTGTCCATTTTCTGCACTCACTAACTCCTCCCTTCTTCTTGACAATTCTGGCTGTTGACCAATTAGCCACAAGGGGCTGTAACACCTTCTTCCTTCCTTAATTCCCATGAAAGTCCAGGTGTTTTATCTTTTCTCCAATTAGCTTGGAATGTTGAGTCTTCCATGGCCACCTTGATCCGACGGTTTTATCTCAAACGATGCTGTAACAGCCTTCAGAAAAACATTCTCAAAGCACTTAAAAATCCATTCCAATGTATCTCAAATCATCTTCACACAGAACCTGTCTGACTCCATCTTACATTTCTCTGCCTACATATCCTATCATCATGACAACCAGTCTTCAGATTCTTGTTCACTTTTTGTAGCAATTACGCTTGCTAGTAACAGATGGGTGCAATAGGGATAAGTCTTCAACAGAAATGTTAGAATCATCTTGCAAACCAAAAGTGATTCAGTCGTTTGCTCCAAGTTCAATGGGGACAGGTGAGTTCTGAACATAAACCTGTTCAGAAGGGCCAACACTGACACTGCTATCGGTGTCTAGGAGACAATTCAGAGAGGATAGGGCTAGTAGCACCTCTAGTAACAGAAGCAGTATAGGGGGTGATTAGATAAGCATTTGTCCTGCTGTTTGGTCCACTGTGGGGATGGAATGATTTGCTCCTTTGGATGGCAACCAGACAACATACTTGCTAGAGGAAACTAGCTCATCTCTAGAGTGTTTCTACCTGCATCTGTCTGGGTTTCTGCCAGGGTACATGTGCAATTGCTGGGATCAAACCAAAGTGGACCTTGAGGTTTTCAATTTCCCTTCCCCTTTCAATTTCCCAGTCTAGCTAACTACAGTAGTTTTAAAAGACAGCATAACCCTTTCATAGTATTAGGAAATTAAACACTGTTCTGTGAAGGGACAGAGGAAGGAATCAAAAGGTTGTTTAAAAGTCTATTAGGACAGTGCTGATGTTCTATATACCACTTAGGAAAAAAAATTAAAAGCTTCCTTCCAAGAGTAGAGAGCAAGGAGTGGGATTTTTTTTTCTTAAAGGAACCTCTACTTAAGAACTTAATCCATTTTGGAATGGTGTTCTTAAGTTGAAACGTTCTTAAGTTGAAGCAAAATTTCCCATAGCAATGGACTGAAAACCAATTAATCCGTTCTGGCTGTGTTTTTTTTGTTACGTAGAGGTGCGTTCGTACATTGAAGCATTAGTTCCCATAGGAACTAATGCAAAGCTGGTTAATACGTACTCTACCACTAGGGGGAGAATTTTTTTAACCTAAGATGACCTTAAAAAAAGAGCAGGAAAGGGTTTTTTTCCTGTTCTTATCTTGGATTTCTGTTCTCAGGTAGAAGCAAAATTTAGCAAATGGAGCTGTTCTTAAGTTGGATTGTTCTTAAGTAGAGACGTTCTTAAGTAGAGACCCCAATGTATTAGGAAATTAAACACTGTTCTGTGAAGGGACAGAGGAAGGAATCAAAAAGTTGTTTAAAAGTCTATTAGGACAGTGTTGATGTTCTATACCACTTAGAAAAAAATTTAAAAGCTTCCTTCCAAGAGGAGAGAGCAAGGAGTGGGATTTTTTTTTTTCTTAAGGGAGGCAGGCCAAATAGGGTCCCTTAAAATGCATTTGGATGCAAGGATTGTATCAAATGGCATACCAGACCTCTCTGCCTGACCTTAAGTGACCCCATGGAGCTCACTCCAGCCTGCTCCAGTTGAGCCCTGTAGATGAGCCTTGCCTCTGAGCACCAGCTGCTGGGGAACACGTGCAGAGGCTTACTGTTTCATCATGTCCTGCTTATGGGCGTTTCACAGACAGCCATCTAGTTGGCCCCTATCGTGTGTGTTTAAGGTTTCTTTCCTACCACGTCGTTTTGAACTGATACCTTGATTCTTTTAAGCGGGGGATCTTAAAAAGGGGAACACGTCTCTCATCCAATATATACAAATAATTCGGGGACTTTCTTCCTAAACGAAGACCAGAACAAAGAAGAAGCAGCATTACTAGCCTGTCTGGCACAGAGCGAATGTAGCAGTGGTTTATCCTGTTCTTTCCACATACTTTCACAACATAATTCATAATTAAGCGTCTCAAGACCTGCTCATTTGTTGAGGCGTGTACATCTTAAAAGCCGAAAGACACAGAGGTGGCATACTAGTAGTGACGGTTTCGGCATCACAGTACATGACGTTACTAGTGTAGCCTCCTCTGCCCTTTCTGTCAGATTGCCCGCAGCTCCAGCTTGTAGTTCTTCAGAACACGTGCCCCCTGCAGATCCTAACACCCCGTTGTTAAGAAAAAAACTACAAGCCCCAGCATCCTTTGCGGGAAAGGCTGTACTACGTGAGAAGAACGGGGGGCAAAACTTTTTGATTTCGCCCAGGGAAGCCGGTAAGTGTGGAGGGCGCGCTATTCCCTATGCATTGCGGCTAAACGGAGGGAAGGGAGGGGAGAAGGCGGCCTTCGGACTCGTGGCAGCGCAGAGAGGGAAAAAAGAACGTGTGGGATTTGGAACGTGCAGAGTAACGAACGGGGGGGGGGAACGGGGAATTCTAAAAAGCCGGCGTGGAATGGATTGGAATCCTCTGTCACACATTTCCTCATTTCAGCGACACAAATAATTCAGGGACCTCTCTTCCGCCCTTTCCTTTTTATATAACGTCTCCACTGTGCGATGCACTTTACGTAATTCCCTCCGGCCGCCCCATTTGTGGGCTCCGCTCCGTTAAAGATCACTCTGTGTGGATTCCTCAGGCATCCAATCGGCATCTTCTGTCCACTCTGGCTTCCTCAGAGGAACCCAATCCCCTTGATCCTTGTGTTGTTTTAAGTACCGCAGTGTGACAAGAGTCGCCGCCTCCATTTTTCCTACAGATAGTTCATTCATTGTTCTTTGAAGTTCAGATAACCCCCTGCCGCAATTCCACACACAAGAGCACCTGAAATTTCCCTTGTACATTAGTTTTCGTGTTCCTCATGTTCACAGAAATAATTTTATTTTGTCTACTTTAGATGGTAGCAGTGCTTTCCTTGGAGGCAGGTTCGTGACAGGCAGAAGTATTCTTTTGGGGCCACTTAGGCTTTGCCCAGAACAATCCTGAAATGCTGACACACTTAGATTAAATACTCAAGGCACTGAGAGGGTGGAATCTTCCCCTCCTTAAATATTTTTTTTGGACATGATTTCATGTGTCATGGATTAAAAACCTATTGAATGTATCATAAAGATAATCTTAGACACAATGGTTTTGTGTGGAAAGCTGAAATGAACTCAGTGAGTACTGTACTTGCCTGAACACTCTTGAATAACACAAAACTCAAAAGGTTGAGTTGTACTGAATTTAGTGAGGTTTAAAAACAAAATGCCATGAAGTCAGAACTGATTGCAATTACCCAAAGTGGTTTTCCCCGTTCCACCCTGCCATGACTTTCCATGGCAGAGCCAGAGAATCGAACCCTGATCTCCTGAGTCCTTGTCCAATATTCTAACCACTGCACCAGACTGGCTGCCCTTCAGTGAGGTTTACTTCCAAGTAACACTACAAATGCATGGTTAAATGCCATGGGATTTATTCTACTTACAAAAATGGATGAATTTGAAGTATTTTTACTGACCACATGGCACAAAGCCTGATTCAAACTAGTCCAGCTCTTTTTGCTCCCAAAGCAGTTTTTTCACTCTTGCTTGGGGGCTTCTACTTTTTCAAGCCAGAATGATTCAAATGGGCTTTTCCCCATGTAGTTTGTTGTGCTGTGTTCCTATAAAGGCAGGATGTAGGCAGTTGGGGTGTGATGTTATTAGCAGACTTCTATAAAATTTGTGTGTTCATAACATGAACTTTAATGGATTACAGTCCACTACTTCAGAGCACTCCAAACACTGTTGCCTTTTTAATTTGAAAGCAAGTCTAACAGAAAAAGATACATTTTTTTTCTTCAGGAGGAACTTTAGATTAGGCATCCTTCAGTCTTGAGAGACTATGGTAACGTGCTCTGAATACAGGACTTGGATCAGTATCTAGTGTGGCTGAGAGGGCCAATTTGAGAGTAACAATCCCTTCAACACTGAAGACAAATACAATCTGTCACCTGTCAAGCTCCCTGATTTTGCTGGTTTTGAGATTGCTTCTTTGCCTTGGCCTGCTGGACAAGTGTCTCTTCAAAATGGGAGAGCACTGCCTGCCTCCAGGATGAATGCTCAGATGTCAAGGTTTCCCATCTGTTGAGGTCCGTTCCTAAGGCCTTCAGATCTGCGTGTAGATATCCTTGTATCACAGCTGTGGTCTCCCTCTGGGGCGATTTCCTTTCACTAATTCTCCATACAAGAGATCTTTTGGAATCTGACCGTCAGCTATTATCACGACATGCCTGAGCCAATGTAGATGTGGCTGTTTCAGTAATGTATACATGATAAAAATTCCAGCTCATTCTAGGGCAACTCTATTTGGAACTTTGTCCTGCCAGGTGATACCAAAAATGCATCGAAGACAACGCATATGGAATGTGTTCAGCTTCCTCTCCTGCCGTGCACAAAGGGTCCAGGACTCACTGCGATACAGGAGTATACACAGGACACGGGCTCTATAGACCTGGATCTTGATATATGCCGTCAGCTTCTTATTAAGCCATACTCTCTTTGTGAGTCTAGAGAACATGGTAGCTCTTTTGCCAATGTGTTTATCCAGCTCGACAGCTAGAGGGAGAGTGTCAGAGATTGTTGAGCCAAGGTACACAATGTCATGAACAACATCCAATTCTTGTGTGGAGATGCTAATAGAGGGAGGTGAGTCCACGCCCTGTCCCATGACTTGTGTTTTCTTCAGGCTGTTTGTTAATCCAAAATCATGGCAAGCCTTGCTAAAACGATTCATGAGTTGTTGGAGCTCTTCAGCAGAATGGGCAACGACAGCTGTGTCATCCACGAAGAGGAAGCCCCCCATCTGATATTGAGCCATCAAAAACTATAGTGCCCTTCATTTCCTTATGAAAGGACCTGATTATGTTAAGGAGTCGAGGTGGACATCCAATCTTGGGAAGTATTTTAAAAAGGCCATCCCTGCTAACCAAATCAAATACCTTTGTGAGGTCAATGAAGGCCACAAAGAGTGGCTGTCATTCCCTACATTTCTCCTGTAACTGTCTGAGGGAAAATACTATGTCAGTGGTGGATCTATTAGCTCAAAATCCACACTGTGATTTTGGATAGACTCTGTCTGCAAGCACCTGGAGCCTCTTCAGCACAACATGGGCAAGCAGCTTCCCTACAATGCTGAGAAGAGAGATGCTTTTGAATTGTGGTGCTCTTGAGAGTCCCCTGGACTGCAAGGAGAACAAACCTATCCATTCAAAATGAAATAAACCCTGAGCGCTCAGTGGAAGGACAGATCCTGAAGCTGAGGCTCCAATACTTCGGCTATCTCATGAGAAGAGAAGACTCCCTGGAAAAGACCCTGATGTTAGGAAAGTGTGAAGGCAAGAGAAAGGAACAACAGAGGACGAGATGGTTGGACAGTGTCATCAAAGCTACCAACATGAATTTGACCCAGCTCCAGGAGGCAGTGGAAGACAGGAGTCGGGTACGACTAAACGAATAAACAACAACAACAAACTTTTAAAGCTTCTCAGCATTAGCCACCGCCCAGCCTGAGAGCAGGAGGGAATTCGTTTTTTGTTTTTTTTTAAATACAACGCTTAAATTCCCTGGCCACCTAGAATTGTACATTTAGAAAGAAGGAAACTTGAACTATTATACATAGCCAAAACAATAAATACAATAACAAATGGGCTTAGTTTTAAACAGGACTTTCACTTTCAATCCTGCTCATCTCCAAGTCTGCCAGGAGAAAGAAAGTACATCAAAGTTTTTGACTGTTTTCATCAGGCATAAAGAACTGGAGATAGTTCATCCCTTAGACTCTCCCTATAAGACATTATACTTTTATATCCCATTTGGAATATCTTTAAAGGTGCTGGAGAGACCCTTTGGTGTTTATCACCAGCTCCCAGACACGAAGAAACTGGTTTCTTTTTTCCTAACAGGTTTCAATCTTTGGATGCTTTGCTGTGCTCTGGTGGCCAAGATGGGACAAAGCAGCATTTAGTCTGGTCCTTTGGCACGCTGAGGACTTCTAGTGTAACTTGGGACAAACAGTGATTGTGTTTTTAATTTTGAACAGTAGCACTGTTCTCTGATGAATAATTTCAGATGAGTGAGTAATTGAACTTTTTATTTTAGACTTATATAAGCAAATTGAGGAGCTTTACTAAGTAGATATATATGAGATGCAATAATTATCTTTAAAGGGAAAATGTTTGGTAGAAGGGAAATTTAGTGTAAAGCAGAGATAATATAATTGTTTCTTTCCCTTATCATAAACAGATAAAAGAAGAATTATGGCCACTAGATCAAAAAAAAAGATGAATTTCCAGGGCAGGGATCAGGAGTGGCTAAACTTATGAGTCAAGATCCTTTTAAAAATGCAATGCAGGATATGCAAACCAAGATCATCAGACAAATCTCAGATCAGATGCAAGAATTGTAATTCTAATTTTATAATTTTATAATTTTATATATTTTAGATATTATATTGTTCTGTTTTATCTATGTAAGCCGCCCCGAGTAGACATGGTCTAGAGGGGCGGGGGAAAAATCAAATAAATAAATAAATAAATAAATAAATAAATAAATAAATAAATAAATAAATAAATAAATAAACAAACAAACAAACAAACAAACAAACAAATAAATAAATAAATAAATAAGAATTAAGAGCAGATCTTAGAGCTGGAATTGAAAGCAATAACCAGAAGATTGACACCTTCACACAGGCAGTTGAGAAAGCTGAACAAAGATTAACAAAAGTGGAACAAGAAATACAAAATATTAAAGACGAAGATAAGGATCAACAACATATTCTAACCTTGGAGATGGACAAAGCTTCATATTTTCTTAGAATTCAAAATGTGGAACAACGGGGCAAGAGGCACAAGAAGTTTTATTGAAATTGATTTCAGAAGAATTGGCCACGCAAACAGGGATATATCAATCAGAGCTGGAACAATCAATAGAGCAAATTTATCGTGTGGGGAATGCTTTCATGAGACGGAATTAGCTACCAAAGGAGATTCACATACAGTGGGGTCTTGACTTGAGAACTTAATCCGTATTGGAAGGCAGTTCTCAAGTCAAAAAGTTCTCAGGTCAAATCTGCATTTCCCATAGGAATGCATTGAAAACCATTTGATCCGTATCTGCTCTTTTCCGTCCATAGAAACTAATGGGAAGCTGCTATTCTGCCTTCGACCACTAGAGGGGGATATTTTGTTTCTTTTTTTCTTAGGTCAAGAAAGGTTCAGGGAAGGCAGGGAAAATACAGTCCAGGCAGTACCAG